TCCATCCCCTCTGGAAGAGTCAACATCGGGGCTTCGCATAATTTCTGGCGAAGAGTCTCAAACGAGGCCTGCTGCTCTGGGCCCCAGCTGAACACCACACCCTTCTGGGTCAACCTGGTGAGAGAAATAGCAATCTTGGAGAAATCCCTGATGAACCTCCCGATAATAGCCGGCCAGCCCTAGAAAACTCCTGATCTCAGAAGGAGATTCCAGCACCTCCCAATTCATTACCACCTCGATCTTGTCCAGATCGACCAAAATCCCCTCTTGGTTAACGAGGTGACCAAGGAACTGCACCTCTCGTAACCAAAAATCGCACTTTGGAGAATTTGGTGTAAAGCCTCTCCGATCTCAGCACGCTGAGGATCTCCTGCAAATGCTCCTCATGCTGTTCCTTGGACTTTGAATACACCAAAATGTCATCAATGAACACAATCACTGATCGATCCAACATCGGTCTGCATACCCTGTTCATAAGATCCATGAATGCCGCAGGCGCATTGTTGAGCCCGAATGGCATCACTACGAACTCGTAATGCCCATAACGAGTCCTGAATGCAGTCTACTGGATATCCTCCTCGCGCACCCTCATCTGATGATATCCAGATCTCAGATCAATCTTGGAAAACCAAGATGCTCCATGTAGCTGATCGAACAAGTCATCGATCCTCGGAAAAGGATAACGGTTCTTGACTGTTACCTTATTCAGCTCTCGATAATCTATGCACATTCGGTGTGAACCATCCTTTTTCTTCACAAACAGGATCGGTGCTCCCCACGGCGAGCTGCTCGGCCGTATAAACCCCTTCCCCAGCAGCTCCTGAAGCTGCGAGGATAACTCCTGCATCTCTGGAGGTGCAAGGCGATAGGGTGCCTTGGCGATAGGTGTTGCCCCCGGTATCAAATCAATGCGAAACTCCACCTCCCTCTCAGGAGGCACACTCGGTAACTCCTCAGGAAAAACATACGGGAATTCACACACTATCGGGACCTTCTCAACCGCACTTGGTCTCCCTGCACCAACCCTCGTATCGGTCACATACGCTACAAAACCACTACAGCCCTGCTGTAGACTTTGCCTCGCTCTAGCAGCCGAACAAAACGCTGAATCAGGACGGGTACCCTCGTCGTACACAGTAAGAACTCCTCCACTTGGGTCTCGTAAAGTCATCAGTTGTCGCTCACAGTCGATGACTGCTCCAAATCTGCTCAACCAATCCATGCCTCCGATGACACAGCCGTCCACCATCGTAATCGGGACCAAATCAA